CATCTCCTCTCCTCTCGCGTCCCTCTACTCTCAGCTACCTCACTCTACGCTCAGGAGAATATAATGATACGAGGGGACTATCTGTAAAGAGAATCATACAGGATGAATATAATCTCCTAGCAGATCCGCGACTAGCCTATACGCTCATTAATGCTCATCGACGATCCTATCCTCTCATATGCCTCGCCATATCCTCTCCCCGAGGTCGCCCTCTACTCTCCACGCTGTCTCCATATCCTCTCATCTCCCTCGCCTCTCACCGCGTATCCTCCTATCCAAGATGTTCACTCTCCTTCCATATCACTAGCCTCTCCTAGCTATCATAACTCTTCCTTCACTAGCCTCGTAATCTCCTCTACCGCATTCTATAATCGCACTATACATCTCATAGACTCTCTCCGCCTCTACTATCCACCTCCTCTCCACCTCCTCTCCTCTCCCCTTCCTCTCCTCTCCATTCCATATTATTCTCCTTGCATCTCCTTTAGAAGTCTACAATGTGTTCTCTGCTTCTAACAACAACTGGTCAAACCTGAGTGCTTCCATTTTTTAAAATCATAATGATGTCAGGGAATGTTATTCATGTGTCCTCACAGAATAGCAGCAGCCTCAGTGAGGTACAGTAGAGTGCCTGTCGAGAGCTACTTCAGAAGAGCGGACCTATCAATTCAGAGCAGCGGTATACAACGATCCATTATGTGGAAAATCATCAGTGCCTCTCACGTTTAAATTGCACATCACCACAATAAATAATAAAATAAAGCAGGAAATGTGAAAACTTAGGGCGGTATTCTGATTTGCGATCCGGGCACTTAACTCTTCCACTTCTCTCTGACAACCATCACAACTGGCTACACTCTTCAGTCCTCTTGCTTATTATAGCAGGCAAATTAATAGGAATAATTACAATCTGTGTCAGCCATTCATATTTGAAGATTACTCGCCAAGATTATGATTGCAGTAACATCTACAGTTTAGCCTTGTCCACACTAAACAGGTTAATAATAATAATAATAATAATAATAATAATAATAATTTGGTGGGTGCTTATATTTGTCTTGTACAAGTGTGTATTAATATGTATTAATGTGTGAATTGGAAATTAGTTTTTTGCATATCCCAACTCTCCCTCGGAGAGTGGGGTCACGCGTGGCCAGAGGTTGGGTCACAGCCAGGGTCTACAACCATGGCCAGAGGTCACAGGCCAGGTTAATCAAGTTAGGTCAGGATGGATATCAACAGAGTTGGGACATTCAGAACCTAAGTTTGAACACTTAACCCGGTTCTAGAAGACTGATGTGAACACGGCTTGTGTTTAATAACAGTGCTATGCCCCTGGTGTTTTCATTAATTCATTGCTAATGCTGTTAGAACAGTAAAACAGTCTTCAGTCTGTTGCCTTGTTATCATCATTATCCTTCCCCAGAGACCTCCAGGTCTGTTTCCCTAGAGACTGAGTTTACGTCCCAAATGACACCCTATTCCCTATTTAGTGCACTACTTTTGACCAGCGTCCATAGGGCTCTGGTCAAAAGTAGTGCACTATGTAGGGAATAGGTTGCCTTTTGGGACTCGAAGAGGTAATTCTATAGGGAGAATCTGACCTCCCATTGGCCCTACACTCTAGTGACACGTAGCATCAGCGACTGTTCAGTCAGTTGTAATGATGAATTGCATAAAATCATCAACTCTTCACATAGATATCTATTTTCTCAAATTACATAGCGTTCACATTTGTATTCCTAGGCATTACTAAGGGAGTGAACGTTATTTATAATAAGGGTTACATGGAGAAAATCGGACCTCTGAAATGAAAATGGGATGGCCCTCCCTTCAGCAAAACATATTTTACCTAAACCCTCCCTGAACGCTTAAAAAAAAAACAAGTGACCCTCCCCTAGAGCCAAAAGAATCCTTAAAACAAAGTGAATAGCAGAGAACATGTCTACCGTTTACCCTCACTTCTTGGACAGACCAGAGCCTTAGATATGCAGCATTAGAAACTGTGCTTAGTCTTGTTTGCATTACGTGGCAGTGTAGAAATGTTGATAGCGCACAGGGCTGCGGGCCAGAAGGTTGTGGGTTCGCAGACCACCGAGGACAAGAGGAGGGGTGGAAAGATCTCCTTTATAGTAAAAACCTTGCGTTCATTTATTTATTGTATTTGCAAGAAAACATTTGCCTTTTATAAACATTTCATGCAATTCTACATAATTTTACATATTAGCATATTCTTTTTTAATACCACACAAATGACTGAAATGACAGTTAAAGAATGGACAGGGAGATATGCCTATGTGTTCATCTTATAATATTTCTCCAATGCCAAATCAGTGTGTATTGTTTGAAACGAAACTGTCCCTGTTTGCAAATAATTAAATCTGAGATGTCATTAGGAATCTGAACATGGTACTTTTAAAAGTTAGGTTTAACCCAACGAGAGAAGGTCACAAGTGTTTCCCTAAAAGCTGTCTGGGTTTAAAAATCGTATATTGTACAGCAAATTAATAACTTAATCAATTGATAGTGACAGAATTAGATTACTTCCCAAGTATTGTTTTTGTATCTTCGGCTATAGAAGGTTGTAGCTAAGCCTCTGGATGTCAAAGAAACGAAACAATGATAATTCCATATGCATCCGAGTCACGTCTTTCCTGTGTATCGCGGATCAAAGCGCTGTTATACATCACTTTATATAATCGCATCTGTTTTATTTTCTTCAAAATCTTAAGCTAACAAGGAGTAGACCTGTACTTTTGGCTATTTTCTTTAAAAAGGTAGGCCTATGTCATACCTCCTCATACCCCTCAATTCATGTCTTGGTTTCAATTTAACAGCCCTTCATTGACACAGAGGTAGGCTATTTAAAGAGTGCATGGTGGGCAGAGGAATTGACCGACAAAAACCTATGGATATAGCAGCTTATAGCTGCCAGGTAGGCCTACCTTTTATTTCTTAAATAGGAAGAAATAGGGTCCAACACAAAGCCCTCTTGTTAGTAAAGTCTAATTAAAATGAAGACAGTTTAAATGAATTATGTCTACTCGAATTTGCCTACTTTCAGCACCATGAGCCGCGGCTGCTGCTTCAAGTTTCAGCACCACAATGTAAGTTACTCTGATAAATACATTATGGAACATATTGTTTTTAATAACATGAATTATAGTAGTCCTCCTTCTCACCATTGTGCTCTACTTCTCAAACTGAACAGAACATAGGCTAGAGGCGCAAGATAGTGATTTCTTTGGGACTATGCCTAATCAAAAATTATTTTTTGAAGAAGCCTTTGACTCTCCTCTTGAACTGCCACCATAGGCCTACACAGCACATCCATTGGTTAGGCAGCACACAAAAACGTTTTTGATCAGCAAGAGCAGAGCAGGCCGGGGCTCAGGGTTGGAATATCCATTGCAGTGTGTAAGACAGCCTAGTTTTATTTACACCATCCCAGCAGCTATCTTAGAAATATAACTTTGCTCTGTGCTTCTCTGAGCATGCACTTCGTAGCATATAGCTTAAAGGCTATGGATCATTTGATTGAGACCACACTAATTAGCCTATAGGTGCCCTTGATATAGCGTGGTTGTATTTTAATGTAGGCCTATAGGGAAGATTGGCCATGTGGAGATGTTCATATTGAAACATACAGTGGTTGTATTTTTATGTAGGTTTATTTTAATGTACTGTACCCTGCTAATACTGGACTGTACTGTATTGTACTGTAATTTACTGTACCCTGCTAATACTGTACTGTAATGTACTGTACCTTGATACTACACTGTACTGTAATGTACTGTACCCTTCTTATACTGGACTGCATTAGGCCTACATGGAATAATAGTGTATGTATTATGAGTGTATTTGATCGTGATGATGACGATGACGACGATGATGATGATGATGATGATGATGACGAAGATGGTGATGATGACTGATGATGATGACGATGTTGATGGTGTTAATGGTGATGATGATGATTGGGCTGATGATGATGATGACGACGATGGTGATGATGACGACGATGATGATGATGAAGAAGATGGTGATGATGACTGATGATGAGGACAATGTTGATGGTGATATGGTGATGATGATGATGGGGATGATGATGACTCATGACTGATGATGATGATGACGATGATGGTGATGATGATGGTAATGATGATGATGATGATGATGATGGTGATGATGATGACGATGGTGATGGTGATGATGGTGATAGTGATGATGATGCCTTTACTGTATCTGTTAAGAAATTATTTTTGTGATGTAAATGAATAGTTCTTGTTTTTTAGACATACATTCAAAGTCATATAACGTCACAGACTACCATACAGTGAGTGCTTGTCTTCCCTCAGACTGCTGCTCAGTGTGATGTGAGATGTTGAGATCTGGGTTCTCATCCTCCCGTACTGACATCGGTCATGAATAAATAAAGATAGTCACATATACCTCTCCTTCCTCTTTATAGATGAGAGTCATATCTATACATCTTTACATCTTCCTCTTTATAGATGAGAGGCATATCTATACATCTTTACATCTCTATATTCCTCTTTATAGATGAGAGGCATATCTATACATCTTTACATCTTCCTCTTTATAGATGAGAGGCATATATATACATCTTTACATCTCTATATTCCTCTTTTATAGATGAGAGGCATATCTATACATCTTTACATCTTCCTCTTATAGATGAGAGGCATATCATACATCTCTAATCTTTATTCCTCTTATAGATGATAGGTATATTATATTTCCTCTCTAATTCCTTTATAGATGAGAGGCAATCTATACACTTTACATCTTCCTCTTTAGATGAGAGGCATATCTTAATCTTCTAATCTCTATATTCACTACTTATAATAGAGGGTTTTTAATTTTAATTTTTT